TATTTTTTCTAAGTTTAAACCAGTCTTATATTTCTTTATATAGCCTTGACTTCCCCTCCATATGAAAAATCCCTCTTTTTTGTTTTAATGTTGTCGTTTTTTACATATTGATATCTGTTTCCCTATTTTTAGTGTTTTAGCTTTGATGTATTTTTGTGATTTCCCTATCTGAGTTGATATCTGCTTGCTCTGTCCTGTGTTCTAGTCTTGCATTTTTTATCTGACTTTATTGATTTTCTAACCAGAGGACTCCCTTTAGTATTTCTTGTAGTTTTGGTTTTGTTTTTTCAAATTCCCTAAACTTGTGTTTATACGTAAATGCCTTAGTTTCACCATCATATTTGTGAGACAGTTTTGCTGGATATATAATTTTTGCCTTGCAATTTTTTTCCTTCAAGGTTTTATATATGGCATCCCATTGCCTTCTTGCCTGCATATTTTCTGCTGAGTATTCAAAGCTGATTCTAATTGACTTGCCGTTGTAGATGACTTTTCTTTTATCCCTAGCCAGTCTTAAAATTCTTTCTCTTTGGTTTTTCAAGTTTGATTATAATATGTCTTGGTGACTTTCTTTTGGGATATAATTTATATGGGGTTCAATGAGCATCTTGGATAGATATTGTCTCATCTTTCATGATATCAGGGAAGTTTTCTGTCAACAACTTCAACAGTTCTCTCTGTATTTTCTGCTATCCCCCCCGTTCTGGTACTCCAATCACTCGTAGGTTATTTCTTTTGGAAAAAGTCCCACATAACTCTTAGAGTTTCTTCATTCTTTTTAATTATTTTATCTGATTTTTCTTCAAATAAGTTGGTGCCAAGTACTTTATCTTCAATGTCAGTAATTCTAACTTCTGCTGCCTCAATTCTGCTCCTATGACTTTCTATTGAGTTGTGTAATTCTGAAATTTCATTGTTAATCTTCTGGATTTCTGATTGCTGTCTATCTATGGATTCTTGCAGCCTATTGATTTTGTCATTATGCTCTTGAATAACTTTTTTAAGTTCTGCTACTGCTTTTTCTGTATGTTCTTTGGATGTCTCTGCATTGTGTAGAACTTCCTTTCTAATTTCTTCAAAAGTTCTGTATATTAATCTTTTGTATTCTGCCTCTGATAATTCCAAGAAATTCACTTCCTCTAGAAAATTTATTGATTCTTTATTTTGGGAGCTTGCTGTAGCCATTTTGGACTGCCTCTTTATGTGATTTGATATTGACTGTTGTCTCTGAGCCATCAATAAGTTATTATAGTTTTATTTTATATTTGTTTAGTGTGTCCTAGCTTCTTGTTTTGTTTTGTTTTGATATGCCCAGATAGGCTGCTCATGTGCACTAGTTTGATTATTGGCGTCTTTGAAGCTTTAACTTCCTGTCACCAGGTCTGTAAGTTTGTGTGCTCAGGAGACCATTAAATTTTCCTGTATAGATTCAGCTCAGGTGTCCAGGCAGTCGGTCACCAAGTGTGTGGTACAGGCTCTCACCTACAGTCTTAGAGAGGCATGGGTGATTGGTGTAGGCACAGGTATCTGGCTGCAGTAAGAGTTCATGCACTGGGCAAGGCAGGGTCCTGACGGCTGCCCTTGAGTGTCTGAAAGGAAAGTATGTCACTGTTCCTTACAGCAAGTAAGTAGGTGAGTTTTGCAACCAGACTATGAGCACCCTACTCTGTTGGCTGTAGGGACTGGGGGGCACCACTTATTCTTGGATGCCTTTCGCAGGTGGCTACATGGCATGTGTGGAGCTAGCAGTCCTCAAGGCCCTGTTGCAGACAGGTAAGTTGCCTGCTTAAAGGGCAGAGCAGTGTCAAGCATCACAAATCTGCCACTTCACAGCTGAAACAGTTGAAGTTAGACCTCAGGTATTTACCCTGTTGTACTTTGGTAGTGAGGGTTTACGCTGTTGAGATGGGCCCACAAGTCTATACAGGGGTGGAAGGCACTCAAAGTCTGTGGACCCCTTATACCTGTGCCTAGACAAGGGAGCTGTGCCCACACTGAGTTCCTGGCTAAAGGGAGCCGGTAGTTTATTTTTTCCCTGTTTGTTAATTTGTTCCCTCTCCAAGTCCAGGAGAATGGGTCAGGGTTCCTTATGGGATCTACTTCTGGTCCAGGGGACTCAGAGTTCGGTGAAGCATGCTGGACCCTGTGCAGAAAGGGGAAGGAGGAGGTAAAAGGGAGAGAGGTATTTCCCCCAATTTTTTTTTTTTTAAATCCCTGCTAAAGGCCACACGCTTGTACTTATCTTTAGCTACTTGGGTGCTGCTTTTCACTGGTTCGGAGTGCCCAAGCAGAATCTCTGCTGCCGGATCTGTCTTAAAGTGAAAACTGCCTCCAGAGTGAGTGAGCAGCGCTGTATGGCCCCGTCTCTGCACAACCAAAGCAGATTCAGGCTGAAGGGGTGCGGCACCTGCCAGGTCACGTCAGGTAACTCCTTACTGCTTCTGAATCGTCTCTCTCTCCCCCCACCACTCTGTCTGATTCCTCAACTTTGTCTTGTTCAGGGCTCCTAGATATTCATATACAATCAAATCATTTGTTTTTCCAGGTCTTCTTTGTAAGAGGGATATAGGAAGCAGTCTGACTACTCCGCCATCTTGGGCCTGCCTCTGATGATATTTATTTTATCCTTTCAGTTACATGCTATCTTTGTTGTTATTTTTGATATTTTTAAAGCATAATCCAGTTTTTAGTATAATCATATTTAAATAATATTTTATTATCATTGAGTATCACTGTCAGTAATGTGAAAAATATTAAGACTATTAAAATAGTCTCATAATGCATTGGATTGTTACTAATTTTGTAAATTATAATTTATGCAATCAATTTATTGAATACTTTAAGCAAGTTAAATATTTGTCACTTATCAGATTTTCAAAAGCAATAAAACTTTCCAATTGAAAAACTATTTTTTTATTATTTTTATTTGTCATATCTTATTTCACAGGTTAGGACATTCAAAACAATTAAAATCATAATGATGTTAGAATAAATCTTTGTTTTTTTCTGAATTAAACAAGCATTCTTTATTTTATATCATTGTGTTTGCTGTTTTAGTGATACATGCTGTTCTTTGAATAAGGCTTATAACAAAGAATGAATGTTGAATAGGATCAAATTCTGTTTAGAATGTAGCAAATGTGTATAGTGTCTTTGTTAAATAACTTGGAGATGTAATTATTTATAGTCAAATGTGCCTTAGTTTATACCAACTTGGCTGACTATAGATAATGTTATAACTAAAATTTCTACAAGATTAAATTTGTATATCAACTCAGGCTGTATTTACAGTTTATGTATGGGAAGTTTCAGACAAGAGCTTCCCAATTCATGAATAGCAAATATAGCTTATGAGTTCATATACAAATTTAATCTTTTAGGAATTTTAGTTTTAACAGTTCTGGTGGTGGGTATGGGATTAAGGGTACATTTTGATCTAGGGAGCCCTGGTGGCCCAGTGGTTAAGAGCTCGGCTGCTAACGAAAAGGTCCACAGTTGGAATCCACCAGCTATTCCTCGGAAACTCTTATGGGGCAGTTCTACTCTGTCTTATAGGGAAACTCTGTAGGCAGTTCTACTCTGTCCTATAGGTTCCCTATGAGTTAGAGTCAACTGGATGACAACTGGTTTGGGATTTTGTTTTTTTTGTTTTATTTAAGTAGGTTAAATCCAGCATGTAAGCCCTAATTAGTTAGTTCACATTTTGGCTTCTGGGAAGGTCAGACATTTACAGAAAGCATACTTAGGTTTCGGTTTGCTGATGTGGGGCTTAGTATAAGTGACTGCATCTTGGAGCAAGTATAGTCAAGTTACTAAATATAACTTTATGATAGATCATTGAAATTATATATGCAAGAATTGTATTAGTATTTGCATATGTATAATAAAGTTATTTTCAGTTAATTATCTTCTCTGTCTTAAAGTCGGCTAGTTTTTATTAAAAAGATTTTCAATTTCTTAACTTAGTTCTATAATATTTTTGTAATAAGAATTATCTAAAACTTTTGCTTTTGTGTCTTGATTGAGGAGAAAGTGATAAACTTTTACTAACTGCCATTTCTTCCAAGTACAGTTTAAATGTAATTTTCCCTCTTAATATAACAGGACCAAATCAAATTCAAAATGCCATTCTTGACATGCTCCTTGCTTAAATTTAGATGAATAATTGTAAACTTATAATTTCATGATTCATTCTCCAGCCCTCCCTAAGGTCTGCTGTATTTATTTATTTGCCTGGGCAACAAAGTCCCATCCACACTTACAGATATTATAGAAATAACCACCAATTAATGTATAAGAGCTGCCATATTCATAACGTACAAATGTTAATATAATTTTTATTACAAATTATAGCCAATACAAATTCAAAATTGAAAAACAGAGTAAAGAGACATTTTTAAGAATATTATACCAACACAGCCATGTTAAATTATTGAATTGCGTGGAAGTTTTTTTCAAAACAAGTGAAGGCATCTCCAAGTCTATTATCATGAAGATATTTAAAAGGGGAGAAATAACTTATGTTGGTAAATCATCTAAATGTTCTATTCTCATATTATATTTTTATTTTGTAATCAGTAAAAAAAAAAAAACACTTTTATTTTATCTTTTTTTTCCAAAGTGTCCATGGCTCAATAAACACAAAGTCAATGTGTAGAAACAGGAAAAGATACAGTCACCTAAGGTGATTCAAGGACATTCTATTGCATTTAATAATTATTTTGTTTTACCTTGAAGGGCATTCAATGTTGTCACATGGAATTTTCATATATTGTCTGCTTTATTTTGATTTAAGCCATGAAGACAGAAAATCAAACTTTTAGAGCAGAGTTCTTGGCCTTTTCCAGTATCACCAAATGAACACGGTTGTCTTTGTTGCCATTGCTGTTATCTTCTCAGTGTCTTTGATGGGAAATATCATACTGATCCATCCCATCCAATTGGACACTCGACTCCATACTCCCATGTACTTTCTCCTCAGTCAGCTATCCTTTGTTGACATGATGTACATCTCCACCACAGTACCCAAGATGATAGCAAATTTTTTGTCGAGTAATAAGACCATTACTTTTTTAGGTTGTGAGATTCAAACCTTTTCGCTTTTGACCCTCGGTGCCACTGAAACTCTTCTACTTGGTTTTATGTCTTATGATCAATATGTAGCCATCTGTCACCCTCTACATTATCCTGTGCCCGTGTTCAAGATGATCTGTTTTTCCACAGTCACATGTGCATGGGTCTGTAGTTTTAGCAATGCTTTAATATATACATTGTACGTGTTTCAACTTCTGTTCTGTAAGTCTCAGCTCATTAACCACTTTTTCTGTGAATTTTCATCTATATTGGCTTTGGTGTGTCAGGACACCTCCCAGTACGAGTATACCATCCTCTTTAGTGGCCTTATCATTCTGCTGCTACCATTCATGGCCATTCTGGCTTCTTATGCCTGGGTGCTTATTGAGGTGTACCAGATGAGCTCAGGTAAAGGGCAGACAAAAGCTGTCTCCAGGTATTCCTCTCACCTGATTGTGGTAAGCCTATTTTATGGGACCACTCTCTCCACCTATACAAGACCACATTCCTTGCATGACCCTAAGGAGGATAAAGTAGTGGTCGTGTTTTACAGCATTATTACACCTCTTCTGAATCTATTTATCTACAATCTGAGGAATAAGGAAGTCATGGGGACCATGAGGAAACTGCTGGGATAGTGGATACTTGTACGCAAAACGTGACTTCAGAAATAGTTTGCGACTGAACAACATGCTTTGACTAGCCTACTGTCTGGAGAGATGTAAGCTCCAGGAAATGTTTACTAAATAAATAAATAGATGATTTCTCCTCTTTTCAGAAATAACTAAAGTATTGTTATTGGAACTGGATCAATTTGCAATGTTTATTCTCTAGATTACTGTAAGAATGTCTTGATATCTCTTTTCAGAAATAACTAAACATTGTTATTGGAACTGGATGGAATTGCTGTGTAAAAGCTAGAGAATGGTTGCCATTATCAACTTTGCTCATCTTCTAAACCCATAGATTTAATCCTTGTCAACACAATGCTCCCATGTTATAAAAATTTTTAATACCTTATTTAATATTCTGAAATAAAATACATATGAAATATAATTTGCCATATAATACATAATATCAGAAAATATATGTGATGAATAACTGTAGTATAGAGCAAAGTGCATACATCCACTTATTTATTTATTCATTCATTGAACAAAGGTTTTAATGCTTTAACTCTGTATGTGACACTGTTATAGGCACTGGTGAAATGGGATTAAACAAGATAAAACTGACATAAATCTCTCCCCTCATGAAGTTTACATTTCATTGAGGAGAGAAGACAATATATAAAATTAATTCATAAATTTTACAATATATCAACAAGTATTAATTGTCATGAAGAAAAATTAAGTGGAAAGTTGGAATTGGGAAAATAAAGGACATTTGCAAAGTAAAATAGAGAAGGGAGAACCATGAATGTGACATTTTTCAAAGGCTAAATGGAATCAAGGAAGAGAGTTAAGTGGATATCTGAGGATCAGTGTTCTGGGAAGAGCAAAGAACAAGTGAGAATTCCTTGAGGTGGGAACACGCCTAGCATAGTCACAAAAGATCAAGGAGTAAATTGGTGAGAAGTAGGAAATAGGTAGATGTTTTGGGGCTAGATCTGGTAAGGTAAATTAGATCAATGTGAGGATTGTGGCTTTTAACCTAAAACAATGGGCAACCATTGCTGAGTTGGGAGTAGAGAACTGATGTGGGCAGAAGAAGGCCATTGCAGTGGTCCAGCTGTGACACGCTATTGCCTTGGATTAAGGTGATGTTAGCAGAGGAGCAAAAACTGGCCAGATTTAGGATATTGTGAGAAAGCAGACATTTGAGTTTTGTGGACACATGGGATGTGAAATGCTATGGAATAAGAAGCATTCAGAATTGGGCTAAAACCTGGACTAAAAAACTGGAAGTATTGTATCATTATAGCTTGGAGGAAAACACAGGTGGAGCATTTTCATCATTCAGTTCTTTTGTGCTACTTCCATGTTGATGCCTGGGCCCTACAAATGCAGTAATTATTCTGACTTTTATCACCATTAAATAGAACCTCTTATTTCTCATCCCACTGAGTAGAAACGTTAGAATCAGAAAATAAGTCCCTTTTGATGTTTGGCTTCTTTTCCTCAACATATTTAATAGATTTAACCATATTTTTGTATGTCTCAATAATGCCATCATTTTTATTACTAAGTGGCATTCCATTGTAGGGTTATAGAACAATTGTTTCCATTCTGATGTTAGAAATGTTTGCCTTTCATTAATAAAACTGCCATAAAACTTCCTGTAAAAATGTTTTCTGAGAACATATGAACTGAATTCTCTTGTATGTATATCTAAGATTGAAATTTCTTGGTTGTTGATTAGGCACATGTATAGCCCTAGTAGAGTTATCCCAATGTGGATCTGATCATTTATATTCCCATCTATGAGACCTTCTTAGAGTCTGAATGTTGATAATAATGCGGTGGATTGCTAAATTAACTGTTGGTAAATATAAAGTTAGATATAAACCATGACAATAAAATGCAACCAGAGTTCCACCAGTGCTTGAACAACGGTATTGGAAGACAGTATATATTTTCTGTGAAGTATTTTAGAGATTTACTGACAAGACTTGTAACTATTGTCAATAATTTTAATAGTAACTGTAATAACTTTTAGTAGCACTGTAAAAAGTTCAAGATAAAATGTATTTATTGGTCTGAAAATGCCTTACTTTGGTCAGTTTGTTTGTTTATAATATACATCTGTAAGCTCACCATCCAACCAGAGAACTAAAATAGTAAATTTGTTTAACTATCTTTAGTGCTCCTTCATATGCTATAACCAGAATACAAATAAACAAGCAAACCAGTTAACCTTGAGTAAATTCTGACTCAAGGTGACCCCATGTGTGTCAGACTAGAACTGCACTTGATAGGGTTTTCAGTGGCTGATTTTTCCAGAGTAGATCACCAATTCATTCTTCTGAGCTGCCTCTGTTTGGACTCGAACACTAACCTTTCAGTTAGCAGTGAATGTGTTAACTGTTTGCATCATCCAGGGATTCCTCATACATTATACCACCATCATCATTCCAAATTTTTAGTTTTTTTAATTTTCTTGCTATAATTTTAATATCACCAGACATACATTCAGGGAATTTTAGAGAATATTTACTTTTAGATGCTGTAGAACTTACTAAAACGGTCTCATGTTGTAGATGATCTTTTTAGAAATTGGTTTTTTTTCAGTTGACATTATTTTATAACACTAAGCTAGTTGAATGAAACTGCACCTCATTCTAATTTGTTGTTGATAGCATTCTATTTTAAGACTATACTACACATTCTTTGTTGATGGTGGGTGCTTGGGTTATCTCTAGGTATCTACTATTACATATAATGCAATTATGAACATTGTTGTATTTGTCTCCTGTTTCTCATAAAGAACAGTTTATATTTTGTGAATACCTATGAGTGGATTGGTGGTTCATACAATATTAAAATCTTCATGGTTACAAAATAATGTCAAGTGGTTACATATGGATTTTAATGACTTGTATTACCAGAGGAGTGTATGATGTCTAGGTGATCAACATCATCAACATTAAATTTTCTCAGTTAAGTCATTTTAATATTGATATTTGAAGAGTTCTTAAGTAATATTTCATTTAAGAATTGTGTCCCTCATTTGAAATTACTTATGTGTGTGAGCCATTTGTGTTTTATATAAATTATTCACTGAAAGACGTTTGAAATTCTAATTTACACTCAGTATCAAACAAGAAAAAATCATATTGTGATGAATGTACTTTCAAATTAAATGAATTTTTAATGTATTTAAATATTTTTCACACTGACTACATCAAAATTTACATCTGCACACCACATCTGTCACTGAAACATATGATTGCATGTCAAATTGCTAGCTTCAAGTTTCAGGTAATCTCCACCCCACCCTCTTGACTTGGCCTAAGTGTTTTATGCATCCTTGATCTTTTATTGCTGTAATTAAATTGTTTAGTGTTTTTCAGCATTTTCATATTTTTATCTATGGGTTCCAACAGAGTCTGATCCCTTCTAAACATGATGCCTATAGTTAAAGAGCTGTAGATAACAAATGATTCTTAAGTAAACAGTTATTTAAAGGATGATTTATATATATTATATAGAAAAGAGAAATTCATGTATAATACATTCACAATTAATAAAATGCATTATCACAAATTGAACAAACCTGTATGAAAGTAATAACATGTTACTAGCACTTGAGAAAACTCCTCAAGCCTTCTATTTGCCAACCACTCTTACTTGCAAAGACATCATGATATTTAGGTGCACTGTCCATGAATTACAGTGAAAAATGAAAAAATAAAATATCAGTCTGAATTATTACATAAATTCAATATAATCCCCATTAGAATCTTATCAGTGTGTGCTTGTCTGTGTGTTTAATTTACAAGTTGACTATAGAAATTATTTAAAAAGATGCAAAAAATGGTAATAGCTCAAAGGGAATTTAAAAATAAAATGAGATGCATTGTTCTATGTTATAACAAAACTTTATATTGGTGTGAGCATAGCCTAATGGAAGATAATAAATAATTCAGATACATACATACACATACACTGTTAATTCAAATATGACTAAGGTGCTAGTAGAGGATAGTAATAAAAAGATATACATTTCAATAAAAGTTGTTGGATCAAATGCCTATTCATGTATACTTTAAAAAACAAGATATGGATACTGTCAGTGAAAATGGCCAAGTCGATAGCCTCAGATAACTTCTGTGGAGGGTCTGTACTTCCATAGAAACAATGAGACAAAAAAAGCAAAAATATTATAATTAATTTCTTTTAGAGATTTAAAAAATAGTAAAATGTTTACAATAACCAAGCAAATGCTGAAACAAGAAAAAGCCACTTAAAAACATTAAGAGAGAGGTGTTACAGAAAATGGTGCATTAGGGAGGTTTAAGATTCATTCCCTCCACTGAAACAATGAATAAATGGAAAAAAAAGAAAACTGGTATAATCATCATTTAGTGCTTAATGAAAAAAGTTGCTGTTAAATTTTGATAAGAAAATGTTGTCGCGTTTTTGTTTATTCACCTACTATCCCCCATTCTCCACTTGGCAGCTGCCATGAGGACAGTGGTCCCCATTCTTGGTGTGTCTTACTGGTGCCAGGCTGTAGACAAGATTGATCTTTTTCTAAAAATGTTGTAGTTGTCTATTTTGACTGATCTGGCAGTTCCTAGAGATACCAGCTCTGAGACTTGCCTTAGTTTCACTGCCCTCAGGCATGAGTGTCTGCCAGGTGGTGTCTGTCAAAAGCCTTAAAGACATATAATGCCCTCAGCAAGCTAAGGGAAGGAATGGAGAACGGGGAAAGAAGCAGACAAAACTGATAGCCTGGGAAAGAAGACGCTGAGGAAGTAGATGCATGGGAGAATAAAGTGTTTGTAGAGATGCTGAATATGTTGAAGGATCAAAGATTCAGTGCACATACCTAGGGTTGAATGCATGCTCAGAAAAGACCTGAGATGACCTAGGTTTGAACCTCTGGCTGACCTTTGGGCACTGCACAAACAGGAGGTGAAGGCTGAGGCCCAATTGTAGGTGGCCTGGCTAAGCATTGAAGGAGTACCTCACTT